AAAATAATAATAAATGATTTAAAACACTATCATTTAACCAAAAGGATGTATGTTGCATATCTTTCAAGTGACAAAGAAATTGGTATATAATATCACTGCATCAATTGACTAATACAACACTCCTACTCTTGGTCAAGAAAACAAAAGCATTTCCATCTTTGCCGCTGGCTTCGGTATCAATCTATAATGTCAAGGAAGAGGTTGATTTGGATCTATCATACAATTGTAGGATATTTTTTTGACTACAATGTTGATAGATGCATAGAAATCATATAATAGATAATACTAATTAGTAAATATATATTTGGTCAATTTTTTAATAATTATATCATACATAGTATTTTAGTACCAAATTTATTATCTAACCCCTATATAAGGGTTATGAAATTATGAATGGATCAAATGTATTATTTCTTGAAAAAAAAATCAATAATCTTGCTAGAAAATAACCACGTGACACTATCTAGAAGTCACAAAAATTTTCAATCAGTTTCATAATGGAGCTGGTCTAATTTGTGCTAGAATGACGAGAACAAAAAATACACACTTCATTTCATTTCATAGGTGCATTCTATTGTTTCATTGGGCCAAAGCAGTTACTTGATTTGACTGAGATGATTAGAAGTGCCAAGTGATGATGAGAACAGCTCAACCATCATGGGAAAAACTTGAATGATTTTTTTCATTACTTAGGCCACCATGTTTCTGAATGTTGATTCATCTTTCCATGTGTATCCTACTAACTGTCACTCCATGCCTCCATGGATCAAATCCCAGAATATTCAGGGATAATTTTACATAATAAATAACTAGAACTCATCATCTTGGAAGAACAAAAATATGCTGGATGTGATAACAATAATTCCTAACTACAAAAAGAGAGCCATGTTTTCTTCCAAGCATACGTCTAGCCCAGCTGCTGGAACTTGGTATCTCCCTCTCATTAGCCTTTTTTGATCTCCAGTTTCATCATCATTTAGGGACTTCGTTGGCTGTCTCATCATTTAGTTCTTTCTCACTAAAGAGAATAGAGATCCCTTTGTACTGGTAAACTTCTTTGCTACTGGGATGAGATTACATTTGTGATGGCTTCACGTGATGCTGCAGGTACGCTTGACTATCATTAGCCACCGTCTCTTTATCTATTCCATGCATAGTATTTGATTCTAACAAGCCATCCTCCCACTGATGAGGGAGGAACAAGAAAGTGCAATCTACCTCTTTCATTTGCCAGTCATGGAGGACCATCTTTGTTGCAATCATCATCTCTAGTTCACCACCCTAGAGATTGACCATTCATAGAAGCATATACTTCAGTAATAATTTAGAATTGAAAAGGCAACACAGATGGGGATTCAAGTAAGGAAAGCTAGTTACAAAATGTTGCAGAAATTCATTTAAAATCACAAATATATGATAACAAAGCTAGTAACAAAACCACAAGGTAGCTTACCAGCCCTTCATCTAGCATGCTTCTTCAAGGTGCTTGTTCTTTACACACTTCAGAACTTCTCCAATATGTTCAAAAGCATCCTCCAAGTTTGTGACACCTAACTGGAAGAGGGCCAAAATAATCTACATTCAAATACCTAGTAGATTGATAGACTGGTAGAATAGACAGTTGTTACTAACTGTCATTCACCTTGTTTGTCCTTTGAACAAGTCAAAGTTAAGTTTTGGTCTAGGCGGATAATATTTCTCTCACATGTCCATGTTTGGAAAACCAAACTAAAGATAGAAATGTTGAATTTGTAAACTAAATGCTTTAACATTTGTGCACACAGGTTATAACAACATTTGTAATTATTTGAATAGTTCTAAGAGTTTAAAGTAGTGGATGAGCAAGCATTAACTTAGATGATGTTCTAATATATATTCTCACATGAAATATTAACTCTTGCAGGCAATTTAGTATTTATTGTACACATTAGAACTGATAATGCTAAATATTATGTAGTATGATACACAAAAGATCCTTAACTTTTGAGCTCTCTTAAGGCTATGGCAATAAAAAGCTTTTTTTAGGTTTGTTTATATATAAATTATCACTAGAAATTCCATAGGATTTCCTTTTCTCCAGGGAACTAGGTACTCAATTCTTGCTGTAGTTGCTCTGAGAAATAACAATAAATTAAACATACCATTGCCTCACTATTGTGAAGGGCAGAAAAAAGTGCAGGCAATTAGCTGATCGAACATGGCATACCCTTCAGTACAATATTTGTTTCAGAGTCACTGTTCTAGTAAACAACTCCAGGGCAGTCAATCGAGATCCTTTTTGTGAGTGTTATGTACTGCCACAACTTAGTCTACCCAGGAATCGAGCAACTTTGCAAACCTTTTAGAAAAGCAAACAATTATATTAGCTGAACCACTGACCTTATAAACGAAGTAGATAGATACCACCTAAAATATAACAGTAGTTAAAAAATCAAACAATTGCAAGATATTCATTTGGCTACAATGTTGACCAACAGATATGGTGCTATACTTAAAAGCATCCAAAGAAATCAGATTTTAGATAAGAGTTAATAAACATGTTGGATAGAGTTTGGAACATAGTGATGGGCACATTTATCTCTTCAACATTCAAGGGCATAGAAACACAAATTTTCATGAATAATGCAACAGAAGAAGCCATAAAGAGGCAGCACATTACATTTTTAGGACCTGTGTTAATAATGGAAGACTTTCCATCATTAGGATACCCAACAAATCCCACAGTTATTGCTTGGTCGTCACTTGTTAAGAAGGCAAATTGTGTCAAAGCTGACAACAGAGAACCCTGTGTGCAACAAGAAAAGAAAAGACAAATGATAATGTTGAGTCAATACAAGTTAGTAGCTAAAAATGCAGAAAATATACAAAGTACTTTGCATTGAACATTTTTCTAGGTAGATTAAGGTTTTCCTTCAACATTTGCCTTAAACTGAAAGAAAGGGAGCTTCTCCAGCATTTGTGTGTGTGTGTTTGTATGAGAGAGAGAGAGAGAGAGAGAGAGAGAGAGAGAGAGAGAGTGAGTGCAATGTATTACTTACCTTGCAAAAAGACCTATTGATGCAAGCATGAAATGCTTTGATAATATTCTAAGCCATCCCTTTGTAGCCCAAGCATAAACAATCTCATAATGAAAAGGGGGAACTACAAGTGTTCACAAGCACTCGCAGCCTTATAAATACAGTTAGAAAATGAGATTGAACTTGTTTAACAAAAGAATCATGTGTTTATGCTTGCAGTTTTCTTTCAAATGCTTCTCTAGATGAAGGCATCTTGTACCTTGTGGGTCCCTAACATGTAGCATCCAAAACCTATAAAAAGAAATATAAATAAAGAATGGATTGACACACGAATTCTTTTCAATCCTCTTCACATTTGAAGGACCACAAAAGCTATGCATTAAACATAGTAAAATAAAGAAACCAAAACTGATAAGGACTTACGAAACAGAAAAATGTTTGACACTTCCTGCAGATAAATAGCAAAAATGACATATCATCCTATTTTTCCCAGATGGTAGCACTAAATTCCCAACTGGTGTATTAAAGGACGAGGGCAGAAGGAAAAACATTGAATGCAACTCCTGTTGAGTCCTTAGACAATAAAAGGAGATGGATTGACTTGGAGAACAACATCTGAGGAGTCAATACCCTAAATACGTTTTCTCTTATCCTTCTCAAACATGGTGTGCCAAACTAAATCCCTCAATCCATGTTCACCACTTCCTCCACTAAAAGTAGAGGCACCATACTTCTGCTCTAAGGCACCTGCAGAGGTTAACACCAAAAGTAAAGCACAAAATTAAATTATGTTTTGAGTTTTGGAAAGTAAGGGTAGAATTAAAAAATTTATTCACATTAAGGATTATTAGCTTTACGAAATAAATACTTGTAATCTGTTGCCCAGAGCTAGCATTTCCTTCTCCACTTCAGTCCAGATGCATCCTCAAGATGCATGGTGTCAAGAAGATAAACTCTGGCTTGCTTGACAAATGTACCAGATAAAAATTAGTTAGACAAAATTCAGATTAAAGAAGACAATAGGAAAATGGCATGCTAGTTAGAATATATATACCTTAGCTACTTTTGGAAGGGTAAGAATTAAAAATGACACTGTAACACTATGGCACCATTTTGCCATTTGTTTATGATTATTACATCATCAACTCTGTATAGATCTAAAATCTAAATAGGGATTATTGATTTTGTTCATTAAAGGCGATTTCAAAGCAAGCAGGTCTTACCATGTGCCTGGTATATGTTGTGTCTTCACCAATATAAAAATGCTTGTTTAGAAAGGAACAAGCTCATAAGAACTATCTTTCCCACATCATTTGCACATCATAGGAAATTCTACTCTGCTCTAAAAAGTGACTGAAGATCAAAATAAATATTCAAACAAAGCTATTGTGATAGGAATTTTGCTCCAATAAAAAGAGAGAGCAAACAAATACCTGTTTAAGTTGTGTTAATTAATAGCAATCCAGTAGCTTTTCATCACCAGCATGCTTTTCTAACACAGCACCAATGGCACAAACATCAGCCTGCCCACAAATGAATGTAACACACATGCCTATATCCAAGGATGGCCATTACAATTTTCTTTTCAAACAGGCATGATCATTGATGAAGTTTAGCCATAAATTCAATTATAGAAAATATGAATCAAAAGACTTTTGTAGTATTATACTATCACTAATAAGGTTCAAGACAAAGATAAACAGCAATATCTCACAATTTCAACCAAAAATGCTTCTTATAAGAAAAGCAAAGATGCAGATGCAGCAAAAAAAATACCAAAAGAAATAAGATAGCTCCTTACACAGGTTTGAAAGACAAAATTACACAGATAAGAAACAAACAGTTCCACTTAGAATTTGAACATATTTAAATGCACAGCACAAAAAAAAAAAAAGGGAAGAAGAAAAGAAAAACAGAAAACAGCAAGCGTATCTATACTAAATTGAAAACCCAACAACAATAACAGGTGGAAGCAAATGTGATTTTCTCCAGCTTTCTCGTGGTAACAGAGTCCAGCTCCAGCTTCGCTGCTAATGGGAAGAATAAACAAAAGTTATTAAGAAGAAAAGACGAGTGAGAGAGAGATTTGTTGAGATAAAAAGGAAGAAGGAAAGCATAAAAAGTGAAAACTCCTACTGAGTTGAATCAGAATCAGAAATGGAAAATTAAAGCTAAAAAGGCTTACATTTGCACCGCCCAATCACCAAAGAGCCTGCACTCCTTTGCTTCTTAGCCCATCTTAAGAGATTCTTCATCATCATTGTTGTCGTTATCAAACATTTCTTCTTCATCATCAATGTCATTGTTGCTGTCACGGTGAAATTTACAGAAAGTAGAAAGGACACCCTTTGCATTGGATTGGTCCCATTCCAATGATTCCCAACATTCTTTTGTGCTATGTCAATTTCTTTGAGGGAAGAAGGCTGGCCATTGTCAAGTGAGGAAAGATGCAGAGGAATCCTCTTTAGCTTTTTACAGTCGCGAATCAGCAGATGCTCTTCAATTCGGGCAACCGAGATAATTCTAACCTTTGGAGCTTCGGTAAAGTGATTTTTTCTAGGGCTTCTTTTTCTTCATAGGTCGATGATGATATCACCTCCTCCATTTGGGCACAGGAATCAACTGCAATAGTCTCTAGAGATTGGAAGTAGCCAAGCAGCCATCCAGATGAAAATACTTTCTTTAATTTAGGACACCATTTCACAAAAATTTTTTTAAGAGAGAACAAGTTGGTGGGACGGGCCGATAAACCAAGAATTTCTTCATCAAACACAGATTTCAAATTCATTAAGTAGCAAAGGTCCAGATGCTCAAGGGTCGGAAGTGGGTTAAACCCCCTCCAAAAAACACTCTCTATTTCTTGGCACCCCCTAATTTCAATCCTTTTGAGGGAATCACAGATCAAGACAATAGTAGAGCAACTGTAGATGCTCTTCAATGCGGGTAAGTACTGCAATATCACCCTTTCTAACTTTGGTAGAGTGAGTTTTTCTAGGGCTTTTTCTCCTTCATATTCGGACCATATTATCTCCTCCATTTGAACACAATGCCTAACCTTTATGGTTTGTAGATTCTGGAGATACCACAACAACCTAAGTGGCAATAACTTCTTTATTTTTTCACATCCCACAACTTCAATTTTTTGAAGAAAAGAAAAAGTGCCAGCTGGCAGCGGTGCTGACTTGGCAATTGCTTCTACTACCCCAACCACTGCATTCAATTTTTTCAGATTATAAAGGTATAGGGACTCAAGGTTTTGGAGTGGCTTTAAGCAGCGCGAGGAAACAACAAACTCCAGGCCATCACATCCATCAACGGTGCAGTGCCGCAAGTCGGTTGCTTCTTGAAAGCCAGAAATGTCGTCCAAGCTTCTCACATCCTTGCAATCCTTGATGTAGAAGCCTTGTGCATCAGATGGTAACCAGTTAGGCACCTCACATATATCAATATGACAGCATACAATTGATTTCACAACATTTGAAATGGTTTCGTTTTCAAGGGAATAATCACGTGGACTGTAGCTTCCAACAAAAATTGTGTATTGATTTAAAAACTTTCTTTCAGACTTAACAAAGAGGCTCATATCATCCAGCGTAGACAACCGGCCATCAAGAGATTCCAACTTCCTCAATCTTCCAATCTCCTCCCCTTTCAATGGTATAGTCCCATCTACTCCTAGACACTGAAGTTTGGAGAGATTTCGTAGCAATCCGTCAGGTATATCAGATAAACTTCCACCAAGCCAAAGATATTTTAGATTGGTTAACATGAAGAGGCCTTGGGGTAGTTCTTCAATTGATGTTCCATAAAGGTTTAACTTTCTTAAGCCTCTAAGATTGGATAAAGATGGTACTTCTTTTAAGAACTTACAATTCTCCAACAGTAGTGTGGTAAGATTCTCTAATTTGGAAACAGATCTCGGCAGCCTATCTAGCTTGTAATTGTTAGAAAGATCAAGGATCTTCAGCCCACGCATATGATTAAAAAATGCATCTGGAATTGTTGTAATATTGTTATTGGACAACAACAAGGTTGTGAGCATTGGACACTTGGGAGACGACATGCTTGAAGGAATTTCTCTAATGTTATTATTCATTAAAGAAACCTTTAAAAGATCGTCTCTCCATTCATCCTCCTCCAGTAGCTCTTCCAAGGCCATGCCAGCTTTCACCATGAATTGAGGATGAATAATCTTCAATGCCATTTCTCGGAGAAGATCATGCATACTCACCCAATCTTTGTTTTTGATTTTAATTGTTTGAAGCTGTATCAATCTACGTCCATCGTAACTTTTTTTAACTGATTCCAACATGCAATTGTCTATCAACTTCTGAATAATAGAATGGCCCTTATAAATCATTGAGTGCCGAGACCCACTTTCATCTTCAATAAATCCCTCCTCAATCCAAAACTCAATCAACTCCTCTTTTCTGATTTCATGATCCTCAGGATACAATGCACAATATAAAAAGCACTCCTTGTATTGTTTTTCTAAGTGATCATAACTGAATTTCAAACGATCAACAATTTTTTTAGATTTGCTCAATTCTTTATCTGCCATCTCCCATGAGTAACGATCAGACTTTCCTCTCATGGTTTTTGCCACCACCCCAATAGCAAGGGGTA